ATATAGTTGTAAGCAGTTGGACAGCAGTTCTGTCTCGTCGGGTACAAGCTACTGTATAAAATAACCCTGACCTTTCCGACATGGCTTAACTGCCTCTCCGTATGAAGTAACCGATGTGGTGTATAGGCTATAGTCTGTGGCCCGCGATACACTAGTAAAATCATAGTTATATTATATATTATACTCTCAGAGATATGAGTGAGACATATTCCGAATACAGAACACAGTACAGATGCATTAATTACTCATGTATCGGTCATGTTGGTCCGGCACTGCATGGAGTATCACGTTCAGAATGAAAAATATAGTATAAAATATAAAAAATAGTTGTAAAATATAGTAGTCGCTATAGTAAGAAAAATATAACGCAGTGCTCACTGCAGTGAGTGACAGAGAGCGCATTTTCTCGTCGACGAAAACGTGAAGTCACGGACGGACAGACAGACGGACGGACACGACGAGCACAATAGGGCATTTTTCCCATAAATGAGAAAATGCGCTAAAAATATGCTTCATTTAGTGTAGCTCCTCCTTGGGTTTGTAGATTGTCTTGAAATAAATCGAGCATTTATAAACCAGTAGGATTATTAATTGAATTCTGTACCTCGTCGGTTAATAGGATACTTACAACACGTGCTATTTTCTGTACGTCATCGGTTAATGCGATGTTAATAACCCGTGCTATTTTCTATTCATATCTTCGGTTAATGTAATGTTAATAACACGTACTATTATCAGGAAGGAGCATTTGCCCTGGCGTTCAAAAGCAAGCACTTCCCTGGCCAGATTGTGGCCACGAGACGTGGGTCTCCGCTGCTCGTCGGCATCAAGACCAAGACCAAGCTGGCCACTGACCACATCCCTGTCTTCTACAGCAAAGGTCGGTCTTCAAGTCTCACTTCCGTTCCTTTACCCTTATTTTATAAGCATTAATCCCCTTTTTCGAAGTTCGTACAGAAATTGAGTCACTTCCGTTCTTTTAGCCTTATTTAATGAATATTTATCAGGTTGTCTGCAGTTCGTACAGAAATTGTGTTACTTCCGTTCCCTTACCATTATTTTATGAACATTCATCCCCTAGCTTTGTCTGCAGTTCGTTCACAAATTGTCACTTCCGTTCCTTCAACCTTATTTTATGAACATTTATCCCCTTGTCCGCAGTTCGTACAGAATTTGTCACTTCCGTTCCCTTACCCTTATTTTATGAACATTTATCCCCTTGTCCGCAGTTCGTACAGAATTTGTCACTTCCGTTCCCTTACCCTTATTTTATGAACATTTATCGCTTTGTCTGCAGTTCGTACAGAATTTGTCACTTCCGTTCCCTTACCCTTATTNTAGATGTGTATAAGAGACAGATATTATAATGATTGAACCTATTATACTGGGCAAAAGTTCTAGTACTATACCTTAATTTGACGGTTCATTGAAACGTAGTTCATTTTTCTTTAATTTTTAAATGACTTTCTTTAAAAAAATATAACTCAGTAAGGTACTCACTGCAGTGAGTGACAGAGAGCGCATTTTCTCGTCGACGAAAACTTGATGTCACGGGCGGACAGACAGACGGACATGGCGAGCACAATAGGGCATTTTTTTCCATAAATGAGAAAATGCGCTAAAAAGACGGTAGGTAGCACATTGAAAAAGACAGTTCCCATATCTTCCGGAGGAACCGTTAAATTTTCATCTCAGTATTAGCGGCTGTTGTTTGTTGTATTGGTCGTTGCCTTCTCCTTGTATCTCGTCTAACGCATCCCATTTTGTTCACAATTTTTCATAACCTTGTCTGCACTAGAACCGGAAATTAATTTATTGTTTGTAACTTTTGTTTTAAAAATGTGACTTTAGTTTCGTACGTATTTGTTAAGTATTTTTCCTTCATATGAAATGCACGTGTATTTTCTTGCTCGTTCCAGCTGAGTTACTTTCCCGTATCTAAACTCTTCTTGTAGCTTAGAATTTTGTTTACTTCTTCAGTTCTCTTCCTTATTACACAATTGCTGCCTCATTATTCAATTGTTATTTTATTGTTCCACCATTGAACAGTACCATTGTCATGCTCTCAGTAAAATATTTTCTTATGTTTTAAGTTTTTTTCGCGTGTGTGTGCGTGTATACCTCTGAAGAAACATGTTTTTATGTGTTTATTATAATTTTTTATCAGTTTTATTATTATTCCGTTTTATTGTGGAAAACATTTTACCTGATGTACATCATTTGCCTGACTATCGTAATGTTCATTTGTTTGTGTACAGATAAATGATGTTAATATCAACGTGTTGAATCCTTTATCGCCTAGCACGCAGCATGTTACCATGTATTCTTCACACCTGTTTGTTTTTGTTCCTACTGTTAACGTCTACCATTAATATGAGTAGTTTTTTACGTTTTTTTAAACTTCATGCACTTTAATAAAGAGTAATCTATATGTACTGTTTTGGCTTTCACATTTAAGTGGTTATTTTTAAAAGCTAACTTCGTTCCAAATTCACAATGGATTATCATTTGTTTGGATTCTTTACTTACTGTTGTGTTTTTTTTTTTTCTTTCCATGGCTGGTCCTGCGTTCTTCACACCACCTGTCCTCTTTCTTATTACATTGCCCCCACGTCTTTTATTCTTTACACCCATGACACCCTTCCCATCTTTCCCCAACACTCTCATTCGCCCTTCACCACCAACGCTGGGGGTAAAATCACCGTCCCAATTGCCAACTTGGAATGCATCCTTGACTTCGATCTAAAATATTCCTATTTTATCGTAAACGTTCCACCCCGGCTGCAAACGTTCCCCTCCCATCGTAAACGTTCCATCCTGGCCGCAAACGTTCCCCTCCCATCGTAAACGTTCCATCCTGGTCGCAAACGTTGCCCCTCCCATCGTAAACGTTCCATCCTGGCCGCAAACGTTCCATTTTCTTTGTCAAAGTCCATATAGTCAATGCCATAGTCCTCCTTTCTAACTCAGATTGCACTGTAAAACAGTTCCTTACTTTATTAATGCCGGGCAGAGACTTCCTCTAGAGATTTCAAAGCTCTCTATCAAACTCCATCAATGAGTACAAAAGATAGATAGGGAGAGAGCGTCGATGCTTCGATATGTCAGAAACCTACTGTATCAACTGGGATCATTTTATTGCTTTAGATTGTTAAAGCACAGTTGCTTCTTTTCGAGGAATTTAATTTAAGTGCTCGCGAAAATCGTTTCAGAGTTTTTACAATAAATACATGAATGTACAAAATAGAATGGGCACACATAATGGTCTAAGAACACGTATCGGCTGACTTATCGTCCGTGATTGGTAGATTATGCTTGAAAAGCAGTCAGTGATAGGCTGATTGAGTTACAAACTAGTAACTATTTTTGATAGTACGGTCCCTGAAATGCGAATCAGTCAGAGCCACAACTTGTGTATGGCGAGTCGCCAATCCCGACGGATGAAAAGGAGTTTGCTTGAACAGCGATCAAATCAACCCTAACAAAATTAAGAGTCGTCCCAGCTTCTGGTTTAGTGTCGCCCCAGCTTCTGGTTTAGAGTCGCCCCAGCTTCTGGTTTAGAGTCGCCCCAGCTTCTGGTTTAGAGTCGCCCCAGCTTCTGGTAATCCAAATCAGAAGCTGCCGCGTCTGTAAATTTTCACTGGGATAAACCTTTGGTTTCGTCTTAAAGATTATCTGCAACATTCAACTGTGGAAGTTTTCCTTCGAGCTGTTTCCTTTTTCCTGTATAAAATTATTCTGGAGTATTATGTATTTAAAGAAAGTATTTTCTATATTATATGTATTGCGGACAAAAATCTGTCTTCAGCGTGGTTATATATTAATAAAGCATACCTTGAAGAATATTTGAGTATTTTAATATTCATTTAGATGAATTTATTGAGAAAATACCTTACTAGTTTATCGAGTTCATATGCGCCTAAATGATGTTATAAACTCGCCCAAAATATTCGTAACTTTCATTCTAGACTGAGAAAGTTTTAACTCTAATGCCTCAGGGATCATCACGAACTACAAAGACATCAAACAGTTCCTGACGCTGAAGGGCCACAAGTTTGAGTCTGACACAGACACAGAGATCATAGCTAAGCTCATCCGTCACATGTACCAGCTGCATCCTAACTACTCCTTCCTCGAGCTCGTCGAGGGCGTCATCCAACAGCTCGTGAGTAATACGCATCCATTCATTAATGTCCACTGAAGGGTAATAAAAATATAACTCAGTACGGTACTCACTGCAGTGAGTACCGTACTTCTCGAAAATGCGTAGAGCGCATTTTCTCGTTGACGAAAACGTGAAGTCACGGACAGACGGATAGACGGACAGACGGACAGACGAACGGACATGGCGAGCGCAATAGTGCGTTTTTTCCATAAATGAGAAAATGCGCTAACAATTCCATTCATATGTGATTAAAGTAATGTACAGTCTATACCTGATAGCATTAGTGCAGAATACTGAATATCTGGGAGCTGTGACGTTTAAGATTGCTTATAGGTCATTTCAACTGCGCTCGGAATTTCATCAGTTTAACGCAACGTTATTAAATTTCAAATTCTATGGTCTTGTTATTTATTGTATTGTTCCTCATTATATTATTTACATTATTATATTGTTCGGTATGAAGACCGTAGTTTTAAGAGGTGTTGAGCTTTAATTTCACTTGGCAGCGATCGTATGGCGCCGAAGTGTGTATACGATCGAGAGTGAAAGTATCATAGGAGGTCACGACGAAGCCTTCTTATGCTAAAGAAGTCGACTGAACACTGCCGGTTTTGATGGCCTAGAACTTATATGGTACTGCGAAATGTTCCATTCTCATATAGTAAGGTTCTTGAATAATGGAGAAGTCATTTTACGACACGTTTGTGCACATTATTTAGCGTTTATTTTAATTCGTTGTTTATTCCTGTGACAAACTTGTTTTAATTTGTAGAAAAATTATACGAGTTTTCTTTTTCGATAGATGCTGTCGCAACGTATCACGGTGAAATTTTCATGTTTCCTGGAACGTCGAGAATAATTCAATTAAAATTCTGAAGCAAAATTAGTCTTGAACGTAGCCTGAACGGATAATTTTCTCTAGGTTCCTTTCTTTGCCGCATCAACGGTCTAGACAGCTTGTCATTTAAATGAATTGAGTTATTCGTAATCTATCACTACTCCAAAACATGAACGTACGTTGGTCTTATCTCGTCGTGTAGCAAGATAAACTCGTCACGTATCAGGCTTGTAAAAACGGTCATTTTATGATATTTCTTTTCTCGAACATACTTCCTTATTGCATCTAAGTGCAGTGCTAATATCAATTTCTTCTTGGCTTCCCTCTTACTTACTTTTCTTACGAATGTGGAGGTGAACTCAGCCGCAAAATGCATGTCCGATTGACATTTAGACGGAGGCCAGTTCAGGTTTTTGCTCGTTTCCGGGTTTTGTGGCAATAGAAATTTCTTTGGAAATAATCTTTCCGATTAGGATCTAAATGATGCCTGTTTCCGTGCAAAATTTGGTGAGCTGTTTTCAATTTTCGATACAATACTTGGAAGTTCTATCTCAGTCACTTGTTCATCAATGATCTATTCAATTCTCATTAATTTTAAAATGATGCTAAGTTGTACAATGTTTTGCAATAAGTTACAATTTAGTTGTAAGCAGTTGGACAGCAGTTCTGTCTCGTCGGGTACAAGCTACTTGAGTGACTGGATCTGTAGAGAATATCCCTGACCTTTCCGACATAGCTTAACTGCCTCACCGTATGAAGTAACCGATGTGGTATATAGGCGAGTCTGTAGCGGCCCCCGATACACCAGTAAAATCATAGTTGTATTATATATTATACTCTCAGAGAAATAACTGAGAAGTATTCCGAATACAGATGCTTTAATTTATTACTCATGTGTCGGTCATGCTGGTCCGGCACTGGAGTATCACGTTGATAACGCGTGTCGCTATAGTAAGAAAAATATAACTCGCAGTACTCACTGCAGTGAGTGACAGAGAGCGCATTTTCTCGTCGACGAAAACTTGAAGTCACGGACGGACAGACGGACGGACGGACAATACGAGCACAATAGGACATTTTTTCCGTAAATGAGAAAATGCGATAAAAATATGCTTCATTTAGTGTAGCTCCTCCTTGGGTTTGTAGATTGTCTTGAAATAAATCGAGCATTTATAAACCAGTAGGATTATTAATTGAAGTGATTTTAGCAAGGTTAAATTTTTTGTCTGACGTGTGTTAAGAAAATAGTTTGATAAAGAGATTGTCATTGTCGTATGAAAAACAGTCTCCGCGATTTGATGCTCCTGATGCATTTTATTGCATGGCGCTCTGATTGATTTGTCAAGCTTTTAAGTTATTTGAATATGAATTTTTTATAAATCGTGATCGAGCGGAAAGATTGATGGCAGGTGACCAAATTTTTCAGCGATAAGAATCTGTGTGAAGCTTGTGACATGTCAGCGATAATCTCGCAGCGTTGATATAAATTCATTCATTTATTTACTTATGATATACCTACCGGTATAGTCGCTTTCACGCACTCGCCTTATCACTCCTGATAAACTCCGATCAATCTTGTTACGCTGCAAGGCTCTGCTTCCGACAGTTCTCTGTAATGAAACGATATTTATTTTGTATATTTATTCTAAAAAAATATAACTCAGTACTCACTGCAGTGAGTGACAGAGCACTCGTCGACATAAACTTGATGTCACGGACGGACAGACAGACAGACGGACATGGCGAGCACAATAGTGCATTTTTTTCATAAATGAGAAAATGCGCTAAAAATGATATTTTTTTTAATCCATGAAGCCTCGTCAGTCATGTCAATAATTCCGACTTGACAAATTTATTATTACGGTAGAAGCCTACTTGAATTTAATGATGTTCAAAGCCATGGAGTTGCATGAATTTCTTTCTTGTGCTTTCTCGTTTTGATGAATTACCATAACTTGATAGCATTTATTGGTGCTGAATGAAAATTACAAATAACTTAATTGTAAATACTGATGACAATGATCGCAATTATTATTCGGTTTCTAATTCGTATTGAATATTATGAAATGAAGTTAGTGATGGAAATGTATAGAATGACTTCAGTATATTTACTTCAATCGATCAACTCAATTAGAAGCAATTGCGTTATTTCAGAAAGCAAGAATAATTGATTTTTGAAGGTCAGTATAATTAATACCTGTTTGTCATGTGCAAAATAGTTACTTTGCACACGATCCTGTCAGTTGACTGATAGAATCATATTTATCAGCAGTAAAACAACCGTCCTTAACATTGCGTATCATAATGAATTTCAGGACGAGAGAAGCGGTCTTGCGTACACTTTTTTGGTATGTGTATTCGTCACCGTTCATACCTTATTTCGTATGAAGGTAAAATTTATGAATCTAAGTAACATCAATAAAAATTTAATGAAAAAAGTGATAATAGGACTAGTTTGTTAACAAGCTTCGGTGTTATAAATTGAATTCAATAATGTCTGTTCGTACGTGGTATGACGTTCGTATGAATGACGCACTAACGCTTATATCGCTGGTATCCAGCCTGCAATTAGTAAACTTATATGGCTCGTATTGTCCAATTGTGTCACTCATTTCTCTGAGAGTGGTGTCCGTATAGATGTAGTGCATCAGCACTGTCCTGATAGTGCACGTCATCCGATAACGTGAACGTTCTTCCGATATTTATAGGCTTTATATAATCAAGATCAATTCACTGTAATAATTTTATTATGGATTTTAAAATAACTTTCAGAAGGATTTTATAGCATGTGTGTGCTTGATATTGTTTCCGTTCACTAAGATGTTTTGCTATGACGTTCTTCTTGTTCAATCTTTATTTTATACACAGGCTTAGCTTAGCGTGAGATTTGCATTTTTTGACATTCCCAGACATTTCTTTTATTAACAGCTTCAATTCATAAAGGTTGAATTCGATTTATTGTACGGGCTTTATATATGAGTATCTCCTGGATATCGTATCATTGGTATGCTTAAATTACAAGTTAACCAAGAATTCGAGAGCGAAGAGAACCCCAAATAAATTCCCCTTATCCTTATCGAAATAGTTTTAGAAATAACTCGATCATTAATTATTTTTTTTGTTGAACATATATGACGTTGAATTTGCTTCTAAATACTTGGTTATTCCGAGAATTTTATTTATGTTGTCGGTTTATAGGATACCTTACAACCTGTCTCTTATACACATCTAGATGTNTCGTCGGTTAATAGGATACTTACAACACGTGCTATTTTCTATACGTGTTGGTTAATAGGATACTTACAACACGTGCTATTTTCTATACGTGTTGGTTAATAGGATACTTACAACACGTGCTATTTTTTGTACGTCGTCGGTTAATAGGATACTTACAACACGTGCTTTTTTCTATACGGCGTCGTTTAATAGGATACTTACAACACATGCTATTTTCTATACGTGTTAGTTAATATAGGATACTTACACGTGATATTTTCTATTCATATCGTCGGTTAATGCGATGTTAATAACCCATGCTATTTTCTATTCATATCTTCGGTTAATGCGATGTTAATAACCCATGCTATTTTCTATTCATATCGTCGGTTAATGCTATGTTAATAACCCGTGCTATTTTCTATTCATATCGTCGGTTAATGCGATGCTAATAACCCGTGCTATTTTCTATTCATATCGTCGGTTAATGCGATGCTACTTTACTCTTATTTTATGAAAATTTATCCCCTTGTCTGCAGCTCGTACAGAAATTGTGTCACTTCCGTTCTTTTACCCTTATTTTATAAACATTTATCCCCATGTTCGCAGTTCGTTCAGAAATTGTCACTTCCGTTCCTTCAGGCTCATTTTATAAACATTTATCCCCTTGTTCGCAGTTCGTACAGAATTTGTCACTTCCGTTCCTTAAGCCTTATTTTATGAATATTTATGTTTATAAAATAAGGCTAAAGGAACGGAAGTGACAAAATCTCTGTACGAAATGCGAACAAGGGGATAACAACAACAGAACATCCCCTTGTCTGCAGTTCGTTCAGAAATTGTGTCACTTCCGTTCCCTTACCATTATTTTATAAACATTTATCCCCTTGTTCGCTGTTCGTACAGAAATCGTGTTAGATTAGCGACTAGTCAAGCGATGGACCTGCATGCAGATATGCTATCTCATGCTATGGTTACAGAGTATAGGTATAGCATTTTTTATCTCTACACTATTGATTATAAATAAGAGCCTTGTTCATGTTTCTTTCCGTAAAGAATGTTCGCGAAGCATGATCCAGGTGAAGATAATCGTTCATTCCTACGCATCCAATTTATCATTTTCCGCGAATTAAGAGACTTTCTGAATCTGTTTTATCTTTTGTCCGTCTACGATTTTGGTGTTAGCAGCATTGCAGCCTACATAATTTATTACTGTTGTTGTATTATATTTTTTTTCATTTGGCCGTGGAGTTCTTTTTTTTTCGTCCTTATCATCGCTTCATTTTCAGTGTCATTTCTCTGAACCTATTAACTTGCTCCCTTGCCCATGACTATCATGTGCCGGCATCATGAAAATCCATATACCATGCACGATGGACCTGCATGCAGATATGCTATCTCATGCTATGGTTACAGAGTAGGTATAGCATTTTTTATCTCTACACTATTGATTATAAATAAGAGCCTTGTTCATGTTTCTTTCCATAAAGAATGTTCGCGAAGCATGATCCAGGTGAAGATGATCGTTCATTCCTACGCATCCAATTTATCATTTTCCGCGAATTAAGAGACTTTTGAATCTGTTTTATCCGTCTTCCATTTGGTGTTAGCAGCATTGCAGCCTACATAATTTATTACTGTTGTTGTATTATATTTTTTTTCATTTGGCCGTGGAGTTCTTATTTTTTTCGTCCTTATCAACGCTTCATTTTCAGTGTCATTTCTCTGAACCTATTAACTTGCTCCCTTGCCCATGACTATCATGTGCCGGCATCATGAAAATCCATATACCATGCCGCTACTCCTACATCATGACAATCCATATATCATGTCGCTGCTCATACATCATGGCCAGCATCATGACAATCCATATATCATGTCGCTGCTCATACATCATGCCCGGCTTCATGACAACCAACATATCATGTCGCTGCTCCTGCATCATGACAAGCCACATATCATGTCGCTGCTCCCACAGATTCATGCCACATTGGGAGCCGATGTCTCATGGGCATGCGTGATCGAGGCAAGTCGTCCTGAGTGTTCACCTCTTGTTTTTCTGAGTGTTCACCTCTTTCTTTTAAGCGCCGCGCTGAGACGCGAGTTTTGCGTTCCTCCGGGAGAATTGGAACCGTGAAATTATTTTATCATTATCTCGTATTTTTATAAATTCTTTTATTTTTATAACTTGAAACAAACTTTCGCAATTGTAACGTTTTAATTAGTATTTTGTGAATTAGGATTTCTAGTAAAATGGTCATATTTGTTGTAACTGCAAAGAATGGCATCGCGAAAAAACTGCAAAACTTTGCGAATTTTTTCGGGTTTTTGCTGTGAGCTTATGACTACGTTCGAATATTTTTATCTTAAATGGAATTGATATTGAAAATGATCGATGGCAAGACTCAGCATCGAGATTATCGTGTAAATTCATTTAAACACGTGTTGCATTTCCAGTCGTAACTTTTAAAACTTGAAGGAAGAAAAACTTTGTCTAAATATTATATTATAATGATAGAACCTATTATACTGATCAAAAGTTCTCGTACTATACCTTAATTTGACGGTTCATTCAAACGTAGTTCATTTTATTTTTTATTTTTAGAAGACTTTATAAAAAAAATATAACTCAGTACTCACTGCAGTGAGTGACAGAGAGCGCATTTTCTCGTCGACGAAAACTTTATGTCACGGACGGACAGACAGACAGCTGTCTCTTATACACATCTAGATGTGTATAAGAGACAGGCGTTTNTCCTGGTCGCAAACGTTGCCCCTCCCATCGTAAACGTTCCATCCTGGCCGCAAACGTTCCATCCCGGCTGCAAACGTTCCCCTCCCATCGAAAATGTTCCATCCTGGCCGTAAACGTTCCATCCCGGCTGCAAACGTTTCCCTCCCATCGTAAACGTTCCATCACGGCTGCAAACGTTCCCCTCCCATCGTAAACGTTCCATCCTGGCCGTAAACGTTGCCCCATCCTATCGTAAACTTTCCATCCTGGCGGCTATCGTGTTTCTCTCCCATCGTAAACGTTCCATTCAACGTTCTATCCTGGCCGCAAACGTTCCCCTCCCATGGTAATCGTTCCATTCAACGTTCTATCCTGGCCGCAAACGTTCCCCTCCCATGGTAAACGTTCCATTCAACGTTCTATCCTGGCCGCAAACGTTCCCCTCTCATCGAAAACGTTCTATCCTGGCCGCAAACGTTCCCCTCCCATCGTAAACGTTCCATCCTTCCACAAACGTTATCCGGAACGTTCCCATGGATGCTGGTAACAATATTGAATTACTTTGATTATTTTACCATCGTTAAATCACTTAACCGTGAATAATATACTGTCTACTGCCCTGTTTGACGTAGTTTTTTCATCAATTGCTCTATATATACATACCCCTTCAATAATATAGATAAGGGCAAGGTCGACCTTGAAGGTGTGTACATTTTTGGAGATTATGTATAGAAGTTTAATAATTACATTAGCAAAGAATGCAATGTTCAATATAGTTTGCTGAATTGAGTTTTTAAATGAAGTCAATACTGTTCCGTGTTCCTGATTTGAGTTATATTCTAGAAAAATTAATACCATGAAACTATTGTACTATGAGACCAGTAATGATATCATGAGACGAGTTTCAACTCCTCAGCCAATTTCTATTAAACTAATTAGTTCAGTTCTAATTATTTGGTCTTCTAGCAAAACCATAAACCATCATTATTGATAGGTACTCTTCTTTCTTACCGTAACCAAATCAATATCAAATCTTTATTTATTCCACTAACGAAAGTTATATTGAATCCCACCCCGGTCCCATAGCAAGCGTAAAGATCCCACTTTTTTAAAGTTACTGAAGTATCATTCAATTTCACTTTCTTTACGTAACGAAAGTAATCCTATTTTCTACCTTTACCCGTTCTGCTGCACTCAGCCTCAACCCCAGGTAACGAACGCGCTGTTCACTGCCTCTGATTATAGTAATTTACGCCGAAATTCAATAACGTTGTGATTTTAATATGACAAGACACTTTCGAATTGATGTTCGCTATTTTGATTATCTTTTTTTTCGTTTTTTTTTCTTCTAAATGCATTCTGAAGTGTACGCAATGCTGCAGTAATTTTTTTACCTTGATCCGTCGTTGTTCAAGACTGCCTTAAATCCATGTCTTAAACTCCAATCTACACAGGAATTTCTAGTGAAGTTTACCCCCAAAACAACGTAAATTTGATTATAATTTCTCGCTTGTGAACTCCTAATGATTTTTATTTTATTCTCCCGTCTTCCCCCGACTCTAGATCTTCATTACCGTCGCCGAGGTACTCAATCTCATTTTTTTTCTGTTCGTGTTCTTTTGTTTTATTTTTTATTTTTTTTTTTGCATGGGAAGTCCTGATGCCAGTGCATGACGTGGCATGTTTACTATACAGGGTTATGGCCAGCATGCATCTCTGAAACTAATGGAACATGAGTCATGCAAGTGACTATGAATTTAAGCTCTTTTATCATTTGAAAACTGAGAAATCAAAGATGCGATGGCAAACTCGTTTGCTCTGATCTGTCATTTTCCATCCTTTTTTCTAAGACGCTAAAATTACATTTTAAATTAAAAATTTTAATAACTATCCTGCCTTTATGATTTTTTATTTTCGTGGTTTCAAGAGAAAATTCTATTTTTTTCTACCTACTATCTTATCGCTGGCTCTGCATCTTATCGCCTAGAACTACTTGAAAACTTACTTTTATTTCTTAATTTTTGTTCACTTATAAATTGGTTTCTTAAATATTCTTGTTTTGATTTGTATGAGTATGTGGTTTTGCTTGCTTATTGATGTTAAATAAAAGATAGTTTTTAAGAATAGTTTATAATGTTTCAATGCATGCATAGAGTGTCGATGTAAACTATTGCATCTATTACTGCATGGGATAAGATCTACTGATAAGATCGCTTCTCAGTTCATTGTAATTTATTTGAGATTATATCCAAAAACATTTCATAACTACCAAAGCAAGACATAGAAACGGGCATAACATTGGTTATTTAACCTTGTTTAGTTCTTGAATTTAATTAACTTTTATTGCTTTTATTATAAAAACTTATTTCTGAGCTTTTCCTCTGTAGTAGTCCATTTTTCCTAATCTGAGACGTCGATTTTTCCTTTGCCTTTAATATTAATAAACAAATAGTTTGCATAAACGCAAATAAAAAAAATTAAAAGCTTAAAAGAGGCTGAGTGAAATCACCAAATTTTCACAGAAAATAATATTGGGTGAATTGTCCAGCATTTTCTTTGCTTTTAAATTCCTGCTTGGCATAAATATTCTTGGAGTAATTCCCGCACATTTTCCCGCCCAAAAGTTACAAGTTATTTTGTTTGAAATTAACAAGCTTGAATTTGTATAAGTTATGTACCGGTACTTCCCTCCTTGAGTTTTTGCTCTAATGTTGAAAAAAAAAGTTTTGATAAAGTTCTTTATAGAAGAAATATAATGATAACTGGTCATATCAACTTTTCTGATTCTGAATGCATATAACTAAAAAAAATTGTATTCTTGAATTTTAATACTGTTTATCTGCTATCAAGTTAATACTGAGTTGAAAAAAATTTCGACCTGAAGTTTCGCTTATTTTTATTCGTATTCTTGAATAACTATTAGAAAATTCATGACGTTTGTAATAACGGCTACAGCAGAATCTCCTTCACTAAATTCATGATACTTTGTACGCTAACATATCCCCCTCCCCCTCCCCCCACTCCCCCGTGTTGCTGTTGTGCTCAACCATGGCTCCCCTTAACGCCCCTGCATTGTGATCCTGTAGAGGATACGCCTGGTGAGTGATGGTGCTGATAGATATCCTATAACTGATGTTTGGTTCGCCCTTGTGTGTTTATTACAGAGTGACTGATTGCATTTATTAAAGTGGCTTTAGAATTGAAATTTTATATCAGGTTCTCGCGCAATTGGAAAATGTTACAAGCGAAATAAATTCGTTATATGCCTAACACAAAATGTCGCAAGTGCAAAAATGTTGCAAGCGAAAAAATGTTGTGTACCGTACCTAACACAAAATGTCACAAGTGTAAAAATGTTGCAAGCAAAAAAATGTCACAAGTGTAAAAATGTTGCAAGCGAAAAAATGTCACAAGCGAAAAAATTTCGTAATATACCTAACACAAAATGTCACAAGTGTAAAAATGTTACAAGCCAAAAATGTCGTTATGTACGTAAGACAAAAGACCGTATGCTGGCAGAGCGCACTCACTTGTCAGCGGACATCAAGGCCGTGGGCCTGCCGCGTACCAACTCTACGGCAGAGTTCGCCCCACTCGGTGACGACAAAGAGGTTGAGTACTTCTTCGCCTCCGACGCTTCTGCTATCGTCGAGCACACCGACAGAGTCATCTATCTTCTCGTGAGTTGCCACAATCCCTTGCCTTCTATAATATTTCTAAGTTTCAATTAAATTTGTATTATGTAAAATAGTTGTAAAATAAAATTTAAATTTGCATGGTCGGTTGTTGTGAGGTTTGTGGGCTATGGCTGATGTTGATCATTCGGATACTTAAGGTAACCCTGTCTGCACGGTTAGTTGTATTACTGATAATAACAAGTTACCCAGTGTTCGTATTCTGGGTATTGCTTGCGTTCTAGGTATTTTTTGTATTGAAGTTAAACTATAGTAGAAGTGTGCGAATTGTGACGTTAGTCTATTGAAGTCGATTTAGGTCGGTCGTTTGTCGCAATAATTATTGCGAATTGTGATGTCTACAATTCGTTTTAGAAAAAATACCGAAGGTGCATAAAGTTCTTGACTCGTTCAACAACTATTTGATATGAACCAGTTATTGAATTATTAAATACAATTCATTGTTCATGATGAATGAAAGAATTGTGATGTCTACAATTCGTTTTATAAAAAATACCGAGGGTACATAAAGTTCTTGACTCGTTCAACAACTATTTGATATGAACCAGTTATTAAGTTATTAAATACAATTCATTGTTCATGATGAATGAAAAAATTCCAGGACGATGACGTGGCATCAGTGGGTGCAGAAGGCATTCTATCCATCCATCGGCTGAAGCGCTCAACGGACGACACACATAACCGTGAGATCACCACTCTCAAGATGGAGATCCAGGAGATCATGAAGGGCAGCTACTCGTCATTCATGCAGAAGGAGATCTTCGAACAGCCTGAGTCTGTGGTGAACACAATGCGAGGCCGCATCAACTTCGACAATGAAGTCGTCGTTCTAGGTGGCATCAAGGTGGGCTCTGTGTATTTTTTTCTTCCTTCAATAGTCAATTTTATTCGTATTTTTTATTACAAAAATTTAAGATTTATTTCCCGGTCGACGGTTCAAGGTGGGCTCTGTGTATTTTTTAGCGCATTTCTCGTTTATGGAAAAAATGCACTATTGTGCTCGCCATGTCCGTCTGTCTGTCCGTCCGTCCGTGACCTCAAGTTTTTGTCGACCAGAAAATGCGCTCTCTGTCACTCACTGCAGTGAGTACTGAGTTATATTTTTTCTTCCTCCAATAGTCAATTTTGTTCGTATTTTTGTATTACAAATGATTTATTTTTGTATTTTTGTATTACAAAAATAAGATTTATTTCCGGTCGACAATTGTGCGTGGAATGAATCCACGAACTTGATTTTCGCGCTCGATAAGAAATTTAGTACAATAAAAAATAAATTTGTGAAAATTTTTTTGTCTATACATGACGTCGACGACAATAGCTTTCAGGTGACCATTGCAGAACTGGCCTATCAGGAAATAAAAGACACTGTACAGGATATTCCAAGTTCAACATTTAACGGTGTCAGTGAATACTTATCTTCTTCAAAAGTGAAATCCCAAAGAAATTTTTTTATCAAACACGCCCTCACATCATTAAGCTATACCTATGTTCATCAACCAACATTATTACACTTTTAACACTTTTACACTGTAACACTTTTGCCGCGTTCTAGGATTACTTCCTAGTAACACATTTGCCGTGCTACATGAATACTTCCTAGTAACACTTTTGCCGCGTTCCAGGGTAACACTTTTGCCGCGTTCTAGGGTAACACTTTTACCGCGTTCTAGGGTAACACTTTTACCGCGTACGACCTCGCGTCTGACTTCCTCGACAGGAACACGCCTATCTTCAGGGACGACGTCTGCTTCTTCATCTCTCAGTCCGGCGAGACTGCTGATACTCTCATGGCTTTGCGGTACGGCTTCATCCGACTCAAAATATTATTTTTATTTAAGTTCTTGGATTGAATTTGATATTTTTTGTATATGGAAGTAGAGCAACACAGTCCGGCGAGACTGCGGATACTCTCATGGCGCTGCGGTACGGCCTCATTCAACTAAAAATATTTCTTTAATGGGAGTTCTTGGACTGAATTAGAACGTTTTCTGTGTATGGTACTCAATTGCGGGAATTGATAATTACAGCTATAACTTCATGCTCACAGCCTCGTCCATCTCCATATCCAGTATGGAGATGGACGGATTGGTATGGACGGAGTAGTCAGAAATTTCGGGATTGCAGAAATCGCAGGGTGATACCCACAGAAATTCGTGTACATACATTCGTGTATATTCATTACATAAGTCGGGAATAAAGCTACTAGACTGTGGTGTTGCAATCAGTTAATGTCTGTTACGATCAGTTAATGTTGTTACAATCAGTTAATGTTTGTTACAATCAGTTAATGTTTGTTACAATCAGTTAATGTTTGTTCTATAATTTAATGTTTGTTGCTATAATTTAATGTATGTCACGATCAGTTACTGCAAGGCTCGCAACGCTCTCATCGTTGGCGTGACCAACACTGTGGGTTCAAGCATCTGCCGCGAGTCTCACTGCGGCGTGCACATCAACGCAGGTCCTGAGATCGGCGTGGCCTCCACCAAGGCCTACACCAGCCAGATGATCTCCCTCGTCATGTTCGCCCTCATGATGGCAGAAGACAGGATCTCTTCTCAGCCACGGCGCTCTGAGATCATACAAGGACTCAAGAAACTCCCCGAGCAGATCAAGGAGGTCAGTATCTCGTTTACATAAAATGGACTCTTCAATATACATAAAAAGTATTGGGTTATACTGTCCAAATAGTGATACACTCGCTGCACGTAAAAGTTAAACGTCCATGTGCCGGGTAAACCTCGAGAAGGATGACCCATAAAAGAGCCAAAAGTAGTACATTGCTGTTTGGATTAAGTTTCATTTCTTTTTCTGAGTGTCGATTGTGGAGGCTACACTTAGCGGAACGATTGCAGGTCATTTAAAAAAATTAATTGATACTTGAAAAGCAAGAATGTACAACAACTTAGATGATCGTTCCAAATTTATTAGCTCGTCAGGGACGCATCAATTAGTTTGATATGAAACTGGCTTATTGGTTTTATTTATCGGTTTGATTGGCATTCCAGTACTTGAATTGGCCCTCCATTCCGACGCTCTAGTTCACCCTTTGTCTTCCTGTGTTAAGGTGCTGGCGCTTGACGACCAGATCAAGGCTATCAGCGAGCTCGTGTACGACAAGATGTCCATGTTGGTGCTCGGACGCGGTTACAACTACGCCACGTGCATGGAAGGGGCGCTCGTAAGTTTCCTGATTTTGTTATATATTCTATTAAGTGTTTAAATATTTTCAAATAGTCGGATAACTTATTTGTTTCAATATTACTTGAGTGATTCTATGATCTTGATTCGGAAGATGTTTTCCGATGGCATTCTCTGGAGTGTTTCTTCTCCTAAGGCTCCTACTGTCTGCATTTGTAATATCTGAAAAATAATTTTCTGAATATTGATTTCCTAATCACTTTTTGGTTTGGACTATTTTTGGCTATAATCCAGTCATCCGCTGAGTTTTTGTGCAATAATTTCTTTGGATTTGTTTAAAAGTTTTTTGTTTTCTCGGGGCAGAAAATCAAGGAGATCACGTACATGCACAGCGAGGGCATCCTAGCGGGCGAGCTGAAGCACGGCCCTCTCGCCCTCGTCGACAAGGGCATGCCTATCATTATGATCTGCATGCGCGACAACACCTTCGTCGTCAGTATTGTCTTCACCACCACCATCATCATCATCTATGTCATGCGAGACGGCATACTGTAGCATGCGAGACCTCATGTGTGATCTCGGCCTTTATCACGCGAGACCTCGGCCTTTATCACGCGAGACCTCAGCCTTTATCACGCGAGACCTCGGCCTTTATCACGCGAGACCTCAGCCTTTATCACGCGAGACCTCAGCCTTTATCACGCGAGACCTCGGCCTTTATCACGCGAGACCTCAGCCTTTATCACGCGAGACCTCAGCCTTTATCACGCGAGACCTCGGCCTTTATCNTTCGGCTATGAATGAAACATTGAATGTGAGACTTGGCAATGAATGAAACGTATGTGAGAATTGGCAATGAATGAAACGTTGAATGTGTGACTTGCCAGTGAATGAAGCGTTGAATGTGAGACTTGGCAATGAATGAAACGTTCAATGTGTGACTTGGCAATGAATGAAACGTTGAATGTGAGACTTGGCGATGGATGAAACGTTGAATGTGAGACTTGCCTGTGAATGGAAAGATTGAATGTGAGACTTAGCAGTGAATGAAACGTTGAACGCGAGATTTGGCAATGAATTTCATGTTGAATATAAGACTTGACAATGAATGAAACGTGGAATATGAGACTTGATAATGAATGAGAAGTTGAATGAGAGACTTGGCAACGGAAGAAACATTGAATGATGAACGCCTTGTGCGCTTTTGTAAAGTCGCGTTGGTTTGAATATTGGAAATTCGATGCAAATTTTAGCCGTTTTATTTCATAGAAATTATTGGCGTTGAGATATACAAGAAAGATTTGTTGATGGCGTCTAGAAATTATATTTAGTTCATAGTTATCTGTTTAAAAATATACATTCTGATCAATCACTTTGTGTAAATGAATTTTAATTAGGTTTAAAAATCTTATTAAGACATTATAACACAATTTAATTATTAACTGACGCTCTGCAAATGCAACATTTTGCACATAATTGTAATAACTGTTTAGATGAATTCGGAAAGTATGAACTCGTCAAGTCAAGTGATACTCGTAAATTATTGCTTTCTTCAAAGTATTACTTTTGTATTGGTGATATCAAATGAAAGGAGTTGACTTCTCTATGCCACAGCAGTATTTTTATCTTGCCACATTCCAGTTGATAAGAAGTTCTTAGCCATCGTGTAGCATTTTGATGTCAGGGAATATTTCTTTTTTTACTGGTAGCTTTTGAAGAGGAATCGCTTGATGCCGTGCGTCTTCTAATAGCAGATCAACTTGTTTACCGCTATGCCTTACAGTTATTTAGAAATTTCTATCCGTTCACACTTGTTTCATCGATTTCAAGTGCTGTTATTTAACTGATGGAGTGTTTTGTTCATCTTCGTGCTCTTGACAACTCTTTTTCGAGGTATCTTAATTAATTTTTTTTGGTCCGTGTAAGTTGATTAATTGATTAGCTCTTAGACTTTTCGGAAATATGTGCAATATTGTCAATAATTTTCTCCGTGTCGAATTATGGCAGCTGGTACCATGTAGGATAAAAATTATTTGCAAATGCTTCTTTAATTAATGATTGTTCTGTATTGACACGATTTCTCACGCAAATCAAACACTTTTCCTGTGATCAATTCTTCAATTTCAATTTAGGAATTTTTAAGCACTCGTATCATTGGACTGACGTGATGATGACCGGAACACTGAGTTCTAGATCGTCTCTATTGACGTGCCTGATACTTAAAAACAAGTTGTATTATTGACGATTAGTCTTTGGTGTTGCAGTTTATTTTCAGGTGATCGAGTTTGCTCATAACTATGGTTGTGAAGAAAACTTATGGAGTTATCCAGGTCATGTTTCCAAGAGCAGCTGCCGAGTGATGTACTAGTGCCTTACTTCACTGTAATGATGCTTCCCTACTTAGACCAGAGCTACATGCCGTAGTAGTGCAATAAAATAAAAAATTTTCTGTTCGACAATCCATGCGTAGTTTTGCTTAACTAGCAAGAACAGAGACTTAAGTTTTAACTACCTTGATTTCTGCTGGAATTATTACCATGTTATGTACCTACTGAGAAATTGTTATTTTCTGAATTGTAAAATTTCACAAACAATGTTTAAATCATTCCTGGTAGCAAATATTTGAGTGGGCTTGTTTACCTACAGGCTAACATTTTTTCAAATGATTATCTGTGCGTGTAAGAAATTGTTTTAATCGAATTGATCTATATATCTTGAGTAAATTTATTCATTTATGTGTACGTTGTATTCAATTTCCTTCTCAAGATAATTCTGCTTTGGTGATGTAGAAATTCTTGTGCGATAAATGTGAATTTATCGCACATAACCGTCCGAATACTGAAATTCACTGTTCCGAAAAATTCGCTTATTGAAAGATCGATTATACTTAATGATTGGCATCATAATCCAGGTTCCAGGCTGCAAACTTTTCTCTAACAGCACGGCTTGACATGTAAATTGCCACAGCCTTCTTGTCAACACCGTGTAATTACGTGGGTTTCCTGTGTGTTGTGAAGAAGTGAGGCGAATATACTAACGGAAAATGATGTCAAATTCACCCTTGCACATCAACGATAAAAACTTTCTTAAATGCATTGAAAATCAAGTGGCAACGAAGATGCGAAAGAGTTACTTGATCCGCTACCTGTGGATATGAACATCGTGTGCCATTTGTTTTGATCAAGTTAACTTCTTCGTTACGAATGCATTGAAAATGTTTAAGGAGTTCGTTTTATATTATGGATTTTATCTCTTCGACGTAAAAATATTAAATCATTTAAAACGTTTCCAACATCAATAGTTCCTTGTACGAATAATATTATATGTTAATTTTTTTGCTTTATTCTTTTTCTTGAAAATCTCGCTGCAAACAGCGTGTGAGTGTGACCAGTTGCGACGATTCCAACGGCAAAACATTGCCGCGGTAGTGACAGTGACAACACAATCCTAACACGAATGAACTGCATATATTTGCTACCATAGGCATAAGTTTTCTGTCTGTAATATCAGTCTTTTATCTGTATGCATGACATTATACATTGGTGGACAACTATTGTATAATGTCATTGGTGAACATGACATTATACATTGGTGAACAACTCACATTGGTGAACAACCGTTCTTTCTCCAAGAACGGATCTAACGCCTGAAAGGTTTGCTCGTTGTTGAAATAATATAAATAAGTATTAGTTCAACCATGGTTTTGCTGGTCCGAGCTACAGGAAAACTTGTGTTAATTTGTTACGAGGATAAAACATTGTTTCTCAACCTTCATATTTTCCTCATCAGCGAGCATATAACTTTCTCCTAATATTCGGAACAATTCATGTTTCTTGAACTTACAGAGTGAATATAATCGAGTTTATTATTAAATCAATCTTATTCGAAACGTTATTTTCAGCGTACATGTTTCACATTTTGAAGCGATTTTTTTTATATGAGGAAAGCGAGACGCCACGATTCGCAACTCACTGCTACAATTTTTTTTCTTTGCTTAACCGCCCGGCCTCCTCGCCGATTCTTACCAGAAAGTGTCGCAGAGAGCTGGGATCGAACCCGCATCTCACTGGTACTCTTGGTTTGGACTGTAAACTAATCTCGCGTCACCACCGCAATATTGAGATATATTGCGGTGGCTCCTAGCTTTTGATGTTTGAATCAAACTATTAAATACATTCACATTTTGGTGGATAAGCGCAAAAAAGTGATTGTGCCGCGTTTGTGGATGCAGTTCAATAATCTAAGACAAATTTTAAACATACAATGGATTACCTGGCGATAATATTTATGTTGGCTATAGTGTTGTGGCGTCTGCAGCGCACGGTTGGCAGCGTGGAGCAGTTTGATATGACCGTTTATGTACGACAACGTGGTGAGCAGTGGCTGGGGTTTGTACGCTACCGATCAAATGGAACAATGTCATATCAATTAAGTTAACATTTATTTGGCTGATGTTGATAGTAGGAAAAGTTCGATAACTGAAGAGCAAGGTTGTTCTGCTTAGTCAAGACACTCAATAGAGTGAAGCATTATTTGACCTTAAATGTCCACTTTATAATGGGTAATCAAACGAAATCTAGCCAAAAGAATGATAAAATATTATATTCTAGTCTAATATATAATCTGATTATATATATTCTAATTATTAAGTATTATATTCTAAACAAGCTTAAACATGAAGGGTCATTTGCCTGTTAGTTGGTCATTTAAAAAAAGCCATTGATGACTAAAAATGATTACAACATTTCAACCAGCAAATGAACCACTTAATTACTTTTCAAACATTTTTCAACTAAAAAATATTCTACACGCAGATCAGCTGAAGAACCACTTGGACATCACGCTGGAGCACAAATCACATTTTCTATATGTTGTCATAGATCTATGAACAAAACCTCGGACACGTATCGGGGGGCATTTGGTCTAACTATTAAATCTATTCACATTTTCAATATGTTGCCATAGATAGATGATAAATCTATTCACATTTTCTATATGTTGCCATAGGTCTATGAACAAAAAATCGGGGACGTATCGGGCATTTGGTACGTGGTGCTTGATGTTTGAATCAAAGTATTATATATATTCATATTTTCTATATGTTGTCATAGGTCTATGAACAAAACATCGGGCACGTATCGGGCATTTGGTGCTTGATGTATGAATCAAACTACCGGTATTAAATATATTCACATTTTCTATATGTTACCATAGGTCTATGAACAAAACATCGGACACGTATCGGGCATTCGGTGTGTCGTGCATGATGTTTGAATCAAAGTATAAATATATTGATTATATTCACATTTTCTATATGTTGCCATAGATCTACGAACAAAACATCGGACACATATCAGGCATATGTTGCTTGATGTGTGAATCAAACTGTTAAATATATTCACATTTTCTATATGTTGTCATAGCTCATAGGTCTATGAACAAAACCTCGGACATTTGGTGCGTGGTGTTTGAGGTTTAGGTCACACTATTAAATATATTCACATTTTCTATATGTTATCATAGGTCTATGAACAAAACATCGGGCACGTATCAGGCATTTGGTGCGCGGTGCTTGAGGTTTAAATCAAACTATTAAATATATTCACATTTTCTATATGTTGCCATAGATCTATGAGCAAAACATCGGGCACGTAAAAAACATCGGACACGTATCAGGCATATGGTGCGCGGTGTTCGACAGCGCGTCAGGGTCCCGTCTGAGCTCGCGGTTCATCACCACCAGCGACGCTGGACAGGACGAGGAGCTAGCGGCGCTTCTAGCGAAAATCAGGGAGAACAGACTAGTCATTTTCGTTGGCACGGTTCGTCATGAAGTTTATAATTCGAAAACTAACTGATAATTTAAAAGCAAAAAAATACCATGTTTCTATTGAAAACGAAATTATCAAAAATTTAAAATACCTGATTCAAGAACTATCAGAATAGCACCTCCCTCATCAGTTCACTTCAATTTCAATGACGGTGGTTTTGGAGCTGGACTATGAATCGTATTTGAAAAAGATAAAAAGTGAATTTACTTGGATTATTTTTGCTTTTAAATTCATTGTTAATTTGAAATTTGTTAAACTAATGATATTGATAAGTACATACTTCTTGATTCGGAAATATTTACGAGCTACTTTTGATAATATCAATTTTAATTCAGAAATTTAAAATGGATCGTTGATTTTACTGCTGGTGTTCAATATTATTACGTAGTTAAAATTGACATGAAGTTAAATGTTAATGTTTTCCTGAGCTGGACTAGACTCAACTTATGTATAAAATTTTCACCTTTTAATTATATATATATTATTTATATATATTTATATATAAAATTCTCCCCTTAGTAATATAAAAAACTTAATGTACGAGAAACATAAAGTTATTCAGATGCATATCGATAAGATAGTTTTATTTTTTAAGAATTAAAAAAATTCATTTCAATAAAAATTAAATTTCTTGCGCAGGGAGATTTCTTGCGCAGCCTTTACGACGCTGGGGCAGATGCCCTCAGAACGTACGGAAGCGTCATGGTGGATAAACTAGCGAACTATGAGCCATGGTGAATACAATAGCGCGATAATTAGTAATTCATCAAAATATAAATTTTAAACGTCCACTTGACGGTTCTCTTTAAAACATGTATTCTGGAAGCTTTTGAAAGTTCACATTTCAAGTTTTCTGCGATAGTGGACATTTTTATATCTTTTTATTTACTTTAGAAATGGATATTTTTATGGCCATGTTTTTGCACATATTTATTCTCATGTACTCAATCATCCTCTCACCTGAACGTTCGAATTTTTAAATTTAATTTCCAGTTAGCATTTTATGAGGCAAAATGTATTTATTCAAACTGCTTGTCAATTTTAACATATATGATATAAATTTCATTTATATACAAAGCTCGAAATTAATGTTTAAATTGCTCGGGGTTTTTAAAGGTTCTTGATCGGGAGGTCGGGGCGTGGACCACTCACCGGGAACTTCAGCAGGTTAGTTAGCTTATCAACCGCTTCTCAATTCTTGTGGAGAGCACCTTGACACTGCCGAATACTTTTATACTTTTCCAATTCACAAAATATTCGGCATAATTGAACATAACTTCACAAAAATTCGCTCATAGAATCTAATTCCCAAATTACGTGCTCAGTTCTCAGGGGTTCACAACTCTCGTAGAAGGCACCATGACGCTGCCGCCGTCACTACAGAACGACGTTAATAAAGTCATGTCCGCTCACCACTCAGTCAACCTCTTCGTACCCATAGCCGGGCTCAAGTAAACATATTCATAATACTGAGTAGTACATAGTATACATAGAACAATGCAATGATGTTGGGAATAACTTGAAATTTTTGTATTTTTAAAATTAAATATTGAATTTTTATTGTGTATTATTTATTAAATAGTTTATTTTCAGATCAGGAAACCGCTTGCCGGAAGGTTCTATAACAGAAGGTTGGTATAGCGTGCATCGAGATGTAAACACTTTCCTGATGATGATGATGCTGTATTCTAACTCTTCTTACTCTTAGTATTACTACCTTAACAGTGAAATTAACTACAAAAAATGTGCGTTCTAAATGATTAGTATTTAAGTCCATGTTCGTGTAGGCTAGACACAAGTGCTGAGGCCATAAATAATTTTCAAGTTGCATCTCATTTTGGTGCGGCTGTCAGGTGCGGTGCTTCCTTCGTTCCATTTTTTATTTACTGATACGTTTGTTAGCTTCTGTTGTGGTCTCTTCTTTCTTTAAACTTATAATGGTTCTTTTTCTTGTACTAAAGATAAGTTGCTAAACAGAAATCGACCGAAAATTTTGCCTTCATATAAAACCAATTGTCGCCAGAAATTCGGAAGTTTTTTAATTTGTCTTTCGAAAAAACATTTAGCTTGAATTCACTCTTATTTTAAATACTCCCTCACAGATTGCGATTGGTACGCTGAGTACAAACAACAGGCAAGGTTCTGCCAAAGATATGAAGGTTATGAAAGCTTGTGCCTCTGTGTCAACCCTTTAATACCTGCGCTGCACAGCACTAACGCGGTAATGTCCTGAATCCTAGTTAGGAAGAATATATTTAAAATTATTTATTACACGTAAGATGTTATGAATATCATCTCTCTGTCTTTTATGTATATTTTTTTATTAAATACAAATGGCGAGTATAATGTTCCATTCATAGGGGATTTTCCTGTCTCTTCAAAGCGCTCGAACTTTTTTCACGAGCTACCTTGAACCTGTGCATGAGCAATAACTGAAACGATGTGCAAGTAATGCTACCAAATTGCATTCAGACCAATGAAAAAATGCAATACATTCGATTTCACATACCAAATGTAAATTCTTTAAATTAACCCGACATTTAATGAATTCCGACATTTAGTGAATGTATCATGAGTTTTATTTATAGCAATCGCATACGATATGTTATAAAATACGGTGATTTATGACACTCTTTTCATGGAATAAATTTACTCATATCATTTGATTTTATTCCGATGAAAATTTGATTGAAAATCCTTGTCTTATGTTTGATCTTGTTTGTTTTCATGTTCCTTCCAGACCCGACAACTCAAAGTGAAAATTCCCATTATTATTTTAACAGCTACAAGACCTTGGTACTTGTTCAGGTGAGCTTACATATATAAATAGAAACTTCATTAAATATCTTTGACATATCATATCTAATATGTTTGACGTTTAATGAAGTAACGATGTCATCATACTTCTAGAGGTTCAGGTGTAAGATAATATTCAAGGAGAAGCAGATCCTCAATAATATGCGTTTAAAAATTACTTTTTAAATACAACACTTCTAAAGAATGCAGTGTCTCCGATGTTACGCATGTACAATGAATTTCCAATTTTATTATCATATATTAAAACAATGAATTTTAAATTTTATTTTTAAAATTAAAAAAAATATTAAATTTTTAAAATTATTTATTCTGTCAATTGATACATGCATTATCTCCGAATTTACGCAAGTGTGCAAAATTTCAGAGTGATTGGACAGGTAGAAGTGTTAAATATCGGTTATAAGATATGTAGCAGACAAAATTATTTTTTCCACTCTTTTTAATATAAAAAATTGTTTAAATTTTTTAATTATTTATTCTGTCAATTGATTCATGCATTGTCTCCAACTTTATGCAAGTGTGTAAATTTCTGACCGAAGGGAGAGGTAGAAGTGTGTTAAATATCGATTATGAGATTTGTAGCAGACAAACAAACAAACAACAAGAAGTGAAGTTAAAGAGAAGTGTTGTAAAAATAGGTGCAACATATCAAATATATCAGCTAATTATTATTAGTCAAACAATACATATATTGTCGAGCTCGTATGGGCTTCCATATGAAATTACTACTATTTATAAAACTGTTTTTATTAAATATACATATTCCATTTTCATCGTCTGTTCGAAACTAATCGGCTGCAATCTCTCTCGTTCATATCGTAATTACTAATGAATGAAATCTATGGAGGATGAAACTAATGAATAAGTTCGATACTAGTTTTTAGTATTGCAGAATTCTGCATCGCATTAGTTTTCAGAAAAAATCGAATGCATTCTCTATCGCTTTCATTTATCCCGATTACTAGTGGACGAAATCAATGGAGGATAAGACTATATATAGTGAATAAATATGATACTGATATTTGTATGGCACAGTCAAAGAATTACGAGAGACTTTGTCCTAATTACGATGCACTTTTGCTCTTGTGTGCGTAATCTTATCCCAGTTAATTTGTACCTGGAAAAAGGGTTATCAGTATAGCATCCGTTCTCTGCTCATGCTGTGGGAGAGTGGGTCACTATTTGAGAAATATGACACATTAATGATTTCATTTTCCGTCATTATGCTTTTATTTTTGTGAGTGTAGGATCAAATACGACCCATTAATGATTTCATTTTCCGTCATCATGCTTTTATTTTTGTGAGTGTAGGATTAAATACGACCCATTAATGATTCCATTTTTGTCATCATGCTTTTATTTTTATGAGTGTAGGATCCTACAGACGTTGTGGCAGGAGGTGCAGGGTTTCTGGCCTGCAGACGTGCTGGTTGTGGTGGATGGGCCAAGGCAGCCGAGCCTCGAGCTGCTGGAAAACTTCCCTGTGTCTGTTATAGTTCACACCCCGCAAGGAAACCACGAGGATAACACAAGGTATCTATTTTTGCTCCAGTAAAATACCTTGAGCTATGAAAAAAATAAATTTTCATACTGCAAGAGATTTTTTTCAGTGAAATACCTTGAGCTATGAAAAGATAAATTCTCATACCGCAAGAGATTTTTATCTGCGCTTCGGCAAAATGTCAAGGGTCATAAAAAATCTTTTAATCATGCTGTTATAGAGATTTTTAAACCACATTTTCAATAATTTCATAACCTCCCAAGACTCAGTAGTTGATCGGTATAGTCAAGTCGCAGGTGAACACAATTTCTAAAAATATCTCCTAGTAGATTCGTTATTTTTTCTTCGATATTTTTTCTTCGTATCTTTTAGGGATAAAAATTTCATTTAATGTCTAACATTTTATCAGGACGAATACGATGGTAGCTTTTGGCTTGAAGAGTGGCTTCCAGAAATGGCCTGAGGTTGAGCAGATCATCGTCCTCGAGGACGACCTTATACCCTCTCCTGATTTGCTCACGTAAGCATAAAGTTAAAAAGTCTCGAAAATTGCTAGATCATTTCATTTGAAGAACGCTTAATCTGACGCGAATAATGTACTGCAATGTGATATTGCGTGTGAAACTAATGAAATTTCCCATTCGAATATAAATCTTCAATGGCTTAGAAACTTTTAATTTCCCGAAAATACTTTACGAAGAAATTTTCCTATTTTTCTGCTTTAAAAAGAATCGTGAATAGCGAAAATTGTTGTCTCTTTCTCTCATGTTATATATGTTGATCCACCCAGACTGATGTCGTATATATTTAGTACTCCCCAATAAACTGTTTATTTTTGCTGTAAGTTTCCCAAAAAATCTTCAATTATTTATTGATTGTGAAAGAATTTGTTATTATTTTTTATTTATTTATTTCTTGGTATGGTAACTTGCTGGTGTACTGTATAACGCTACCGACGAAGTAAATGAAGCCTCCGTTTAACTTCTGTCGGACTTCCTAATGGAGTATAGGTACAAAAATACTTACAGGAATAGGATTGTAGCGTTGTTAATTAATGCAGCCTGCCGATGGATAAACCACTCATTTCTTCTTCAAACACTTCCATCAATTTGCTTTTAACTAACTTTTAACTTGGACAGCTACTTCGAACAGCTCGCCCCAGTTCTTACAGCCGACCCCACACTCATGTGCGCTAACGCCTTCAGCCAGCACTCATACCCCAACACGGCGTACGACCTTACGACCGTCCTTAGGACGCGTGTCATGCCTCAGTACGGCTGGATGATGACCAGGAGTATGGCCACGGCCCTACTGCAGCTGTGGGTACCCGTCGGTGTAAGTGATACTTTATTTTGCCGAGAAAAATTCTGATTCTTTGATATTTAATTCATTTATGTCTCTGTTATTTAACATTGGGTCGTACAATGTGAGGCAAAGAACAACTGCTTCTAGCTTCATATTATTGAGAATTTCTTCTCTGCTCCATTCTTAGTTCATTTCGAGTTTAATTTACTTTATTACATAATATAAATATAAAATTTGGGCTGTTTTCTTCAGCCTGGACGAGACTGGGACTGGTGGTTGCTGCTGGAAAACCAGCGAAGGAATCGCTTGGTGCTGACGCCTGAAGTGTCGCGTATTCGGCACGACTCCAGTTCTGGAGCGCACGTGTACGCCTGGGAACAAGGCCTCTACCACGCAGACCGCCTCCAAAGCAATTATTCTACTGCTGTGCTGGCTAACATTGACAGGTCAGAGACTGGATTTAATTTATGAGCGTTGTTTATCCTAAATGTAACAGTCAGTTACATTGACAGGTCCGAGACTGGATTTAATTTATGAGCGTTGTTTATTCTAAATGTAACAGTCAGTTACATTGACAGGTCAGAGACTGGATTTAATTTATGAGCGTTGTTTATCCTAAATGTAACAGTCAGTTACATTGACAGGTCAGAGACGGGATTTATTCTAAATGTAACCCCCAGAAAAACAAATGGGTTTTGTTGATCAAATAACTATATATTTGTGTACGTATGTTATTCTACACCCCTTTTTGCTGGGCCAAACTCTACCAGAATGACCTACCAACGGATAAAGCATGCGTTGTTATTTCGACATAGTCTCACGTATTATTCTGAGTGAATTTATAATGCTGCGTTCTGTAGCTCATTAATTGTTTATAAAATTAAAAAATTAAATTAAATTTCTAACTTTTTGATCCTTGCAACCTGTGCTCTTGTTCAACATTTGCTACATTTTCTGCTTCCCAAATGCCTCTCAGTGAAACTATAGAAAGTTTTCCAGAATAAACTGGAAAACACCTGTATTTTGCGCGTACTTGAACTTAAATAGGTCGTATATGCAATATCGTATATGGGAATCTTATATCGTCTCTTAACAGCTATAATTTTTTCTTATAATTTCAACAAATCTACTATACCTTTATGTACCGTTTATTTTTTCGAGGGAACAGCCCTCTAATCTACTTTCTTCTTAATTGGAGCCTAGAATACTCTTTTTTCACTTAGGATCTCGAACAAGTCTCAAATGCTTATAGTTCAGAAATTTTTCTTGATTTAAAACATTTACAGTTTGCTTCATAGAATTTATTCACAATAACCCAGGTTGAGTTCACCATCTCTGTACGATGCTTGGTACTGCAGCGAGATCCTAAGATCTACACCCATCATTATACGGGACAATCCGTGCGACGTATTTCCTCTGCCAGACGACCAGGTTATTTATTCAATTGTTTTTTTNATAAATGAGAAAATGCGCTAAAAATGCATAGCTATTTGGACAAAAAAATTTACATATCTCTGGGTGTACTTTCGGAGCCAAATAAATTCTCTGGAGCTGGCAGTGTCATTCCTCAAATTATTTCAGTGGTAGAGCGAGCACATTTCTGATTTATCAATATTTTTTATTTCATTTGTACAGCCGGCATATCAAATATACATTAATATTTCTTATTTCATTTTTACAGCCAGCATATCAAGTATTTATTAATATTTCTTATTTCATTTGGACTGCGGTACATCAATTATTTATTAATATTTTCTTATTTCAGTTGTACAGCTAGCATATCAATTATTAATTAATATTTTTTATTTCATTTGTACAGCCAGCATATCGATTATTTATTAATATTTTCTTATTTCATTTTTACAGCCAGCATATCAATTATTTATTAATATTGTTTTATTTCATTTGTACAGCGAGCATATCAATTATTTATTGAAAGTTCTTATTTCATTTGTACTGCGGCACACCAATTATTTACTAATATTTTTTATTTCATTTGCACAGCCAGCATATCAATCATTCATTATTATTTCTTATTTCAATTTAAACAACCAGCATATCAATCATTTATTAATATTTCTCATTTCATTTATAAAGCGAGCATATAATTTATTTATTAATATTTTTCATTTCAATTTAAACAGCCAGCATATCAATTATTTACTAATATTCCTCATTTCAATTTAAAATTTATTTGCACAGCCAGCATATCAATTATTTACCAACATTTTTTATTTCAGTTGTACAACGAGCACATCAATTATTTACTAATATTTCTCATTTCATTTATAAAACAAGCATATAATTTATTTACTAATATTTTTGATGGTTACAGTACTCCAGAGTACCAGCGGGTGAAGGAAATGGTCTACCTCCGTCCGTCCGAGGCTCTGGTCGAACGCGCGGCGCTGCACATGTTCAGGAGACGCTCGGCCCGGTATCGTACAATGACCAGGTAAATAAAATATTTATTACAATTATGATGAAATTGAAATTGAAATGCGTGGTGATTATGATGAAATTGAAATGCGTGGTGACCTCCGGTCACGACCTTTATATCGGTCATACACGCTGCCAAAAACTTGTATTAGCATCAAAAAATTAAAAGTTCACACTCGTATCATAACAAAAAAAGTTCAATTAAACCGTATTCACAGCAGTCACAGCAGTCCTAAGAAAAAAATACAATTATGATACAATTTTATTACAATATTTAGTAACTGAATAAAGATAAAACATTTTCTAAATATTTTGCTTATTATGTGTTCTTTGATAAAAGATTGGACTTTTGTTCGGAATGCCCACCGTAGATACATGCAGTAATGAAGACGCAATCTTTGTACATATTTGGTTTAATAAAAAATTCAAAGAATTTATTCATCCAGCAAATAAAAACTGGGAAGTTATTCGTCCAACAAAAGCGGCAAGTTTATTGTTAATTAATGATATGAAATCACATGAATAAATTTGTAACTGTACATAATTTCTAGTAACGGTGAGTTTATCCCAACAGGTTACGTGTAACGCCAAACAACGTAACGTCAGACTTCACTAGAGACAACGTATTGAAATTAGAGCCTAAGTATACAAATTAAACCTTTTATAAATAAAACTGTCTTTTTTCTTGAAATCTGGACGATTTTTTAAGAAGTTTAGGCTCATTTTCGAATACCACGCAATATTGATGTATATAAAATTTTAATACTGTTAAATCCATTAGGTAGGCAACAAACGAAAAATCCAGTAAATGAAAACAAACGAAAAGTCCAGTAAAGGCAACAAGCGAAAAAAATTGTTGTGAGTTCTCAAAAAGTAAGATTGATAACTAATGTAAAACAGTGGTGGAAAATGTTCCTAAAAATATATTCGGTAAAATATATTTTACCGAATTTTTTACCATTGCTTCTTGGTTCACAAAGTGAGAATAAATTACTTTACGATTTCTTTTCCTATCATTCGTTTCAATTGCACTGGCGCAGAAATGTACGTGGCAACAGTAAAATAACAGCACGTCATGGTATTTATAGACGCACTGACCAGAGTTCATTGGTGCGACCATCGCAATGGCAAAAATTAAGAATTCATTATTTTTTAATGTAAGGTAATAAGAGAACAACCAGCGTCAATCTTGCTTGTTCATGACAGCTTAACAACACTTTGGTAGAAAACATTTGATCGTTGTTTAGTGATGAGCTAGGATGCCAGCTGACAGGTGAGCATTCACTAGTATATTCGACACTACTATGAGATATATTTAACTAAAACTGTTAACTTTATGACAAAGCGCAATATCAATAAAATAGCAAAATACATTATAGCTAAAAGGCAACACCGGCAATTCATTGTTAAGTTTAATGTTTCAGAAGTAACTGGTATCCTGAAAATGGTTCTGAAGAGAAAACATCTAGTACAATAGTTGAAATTTTCGTAATTTATAAGCATCCTAAAGAGAATATTTTCATTCGGCCGGCTTCTTCTTTTGCGTTTGAGCTTCACTGGCACGACGTCTGCTCGGTGTCCTTTTTGGGTTAACGGCGGGGGCTGAAGAAAATCTCATTTGTTGTCTAAGGTTTGGTTTCCCTACACTTTGTGATAAGTTAATAGGAGGTAATAGAACACTTTCCGGTCTAGATGAGCTAGGCCTCGCAGTAGACGGTGACGGTGATATGGCACTGAGATCGAACGATGACGATAAGGAGTTATTGAGATGTAATTTTTCAATGGAAGATCCCGACGTCTGCCGAGTTCTCTTTGGCTGGCTAATGGACAACCTAGCGTCTCTCCAGGTGCCAGAAAGAGAAAGCTCTCCGGAGTCCAAACTCAAAGGCTCGTCTTCGATGATCGAGGCTCTAGAATCAGGACGCGAAGTTGAATCTCCTCTCCTCAAAGCGGCGCTGTACATTTTTAGGTCCCGTACTTTCGCTCTCAGAGAAAGGCACTCGTCCCTCAAACTTGCTAATCTCTGCTCGCCGACCTCGATTTGTTGCTTTAATTGAAGTTCCCTCCAGCTGCTGTGGTCTCTGAACTCATTGTGCTCCCTCTCATATTCTTCCAGTTGAGTCTGTAACTCTTGGATCATTGCATCTTTTTCTTGCATTGAGGCTTTCAGTTGCTGGATTTGAGAACTTGATTTAGCATTACTTGGATCCGAGACGTTGCGGAGGTGGACTTCAAACTGTAAATCTGAAAGGATAGGATAATGTTGGGAGAATTGCCGTTGACAAATTTTACATTTATTTTGGTAAAATTTTATAAGTGGCAAATTATATAAATCTTTTATTCGGCCTACTCTCCTGGCAAGTCCAGCTATAGTTTCATCCCGTAAAGATTTCTAACTGAACGCACTTTTCGAGTTATCTTCCACACTAACGTGCGCCGATGCGCAAAAATTCCTTCAGAGACTAGAAATGTAGTTTATTTGTATAAAATTAATATTCGGTAAAAGTAATTTGTATTCTATCCCCCACAAAGTTCCCACCTCCACATTTCTCCTGCAGTGCCCGAACCTCGGCGTGCAAGCCCGCCAGGATCTTTTCGTGTTCCGCTTGTAGGAAGCTTACTGCCTCCTGACCTCCACAGCAGCGATCTCTGTCGAACGCATGAACCAACACTCAGAAAAATCAGCCGGTCATATTACCCAAATAATTTTGAAGGTTGCATAATAGATAAAATTTCTACACGTAGCACTAATACGCAGTAAGCTAAACCTCAAAACAAAAAACTTTTTTGCTAATATCAAACTAGATCAGGATGACCCACACACGTACAATTAAGGAGTGTATCACTATTTCACTAGTATCGCTCATTTTTTAAAGATGATCACATTTTTATTGCATGGTGTTTGAGTCCTCATCAGGTATCCTCGAAACTTGAAATGAGTTCATTGAGCTTTATGTTAAAAACCAGTTCTAATTTAACTTGCGGTCTTGCGCTGTGAGATTAACTTTAGCGCTAAGAGATCGAGTTATGCATCAACACAAAATAGACCAGGATCTTGATACAACAGCATTGATTTGCAAATTTCGGTTAGCAAAAAACAGGTAAAATTAAAAATCAGAACCAAAATTGAGATATAGCTTGACATAATAGGCATCAATCTCAATTAATTTAGCGAATTAAAACGGCCAAACTTCGTTACTCCGAATGAAACGTTCGGTTATTGCATTCAAAGATAAGAGAAAGATTCTCTTAAAAGAAAGATTCAAATAAAAACGATAAAGATTCAAAGAAAGATAAAAGAAAGATTCAAAGATCAAAGTTCAAACTGACGCACCTGCTGTTAAGTCCATGGACAGGCTTTGTCCTGCTGGAAGTTGAATCCTGCTCCGCGTGTCCTTTGTGCTTGACACTGCCAGACGACCTGACTTCGGCCACAGAGAGGTCGAGGTGTGCTAGATCATGCTATTTCCATAGCTCCTATGAATTGTTACAGTTTCCTCACCTCAAGTGTTGCTAATTATTTAGAATTCTGCGTGTAGGTGTCGTAGAGTTAAGTAAAAAATAAATTTGACTAACGTAAATAATTTCGTTACCACTTTGATTTAACTTGTTTACACTTCCGGACAAGCACATGCATGTTGAATGTCGATTTCAAAGAACATCCTGATACGTCAACTAATTTTCATGTGCTGACAACGCCCGATGTCATGCTCTCAGACCTGAAAAAAAGCTAAATAACAAAAAAAAAATAAAGTTAAAACATTGAATGCGCCCATGCGGCTAAAGTTAAAACATTTAGGCCATGCGCTGACAGGTGGCCTAAAAACGGCCAAATCCGCGGATAAAAAGGCATATAATTCAAAATATACTAGTAAATTTGAGGGTCCCGGTGCAAAAATTAAATTTTAATTTTTTCGGTACTTTTTGTAATTTAATGAGGCAGTCCTGCCATCAGAAATTTATGTCGACAAACGCTACTGAAAAAACTAAATTGCGAAATTCGTCCGGAAAAAAGACCCTAAATTACTTGACATGTACGATTTCCGCCGTCAGAAACTCATGCTATAGTGTCGGTGGACAGTACTAGGTAAATCAACGATATGTATTCTGATTATTGAAAGAGTGCTTAGTAAACATAAAGCAACCGATGAAAACAAGCACACGTTTCCGTCTACCCTTCTTCAGAAGCTATAGAAATTAATGCAACGGTTTTGAACAATGAATAAATTCTAATTCGACAAATTATCGGTAAAGCAATGATTAAAGAATTTAATGAAGGTTACAGAATTAGTATCAAGGTAAATCGAAAAAAATGATTACAAACATAATAGACATTTGTTCCATAGAGCATATATATGTGTTCATTGATTCGGTAAACAGGTCAACACATGTAGAGCTCAGGCAGCACAAATTACAAGCCGGTCAATGCAACACGATTCAGTCTCTGCAGTATTCCAGAAAAAACGTATTTATGGATATTCTAGTGATGCAAAATATTACGTGCTGCGTATTTTAAATTTTTATATTATGCATTGTCATCATACCTCAAATTTTAATACTTTTTTTCAATAAATCGTTTTATCAAAGAGCAAATGGAGAAAAGGTCAATAAAGTAGGCTCAAATCTTAAAATATAAGTTCTCTACATGTCATTTTATAAGATTTTACACAGTGAATAACTTAATATATATTTAATTCCATAAATACGATGTTGAACAAATCTTTCAATGGCTTTCAAGAAATTCACGATGCTTGAAGTAGTTGAGATTTACATCGAATTTGTCGTACAATGCACTTCATTTAGCAGGTGCACATGTGATCGATATCTCCAGACACACACTCACTCAAGGCCGTCACGTCAACATTATAGTCGCAAAAATGTTATGGTTACCGTATTAGTAATCCTCTCTAAACCTACTAATGTCTCTTTTTTCATAATAATATCAAATTACAATAAGTTAATGTAATAAACATGAAAGCTAACATGCTCATGCAATAGAGTAAAAATCTCACTGCCATTAGCGTGATAGCAATGTAGCAAGTCACGCTAGGCAATAACCTTGAATGCTTGCGTGTCTTTTATAACGTACTGTGAAAATGAGGTTAATTATATATTAATTACATTGTGCACTGAATCCTTCCTTCAAGGACAATTCCAATTTCCTTCAAGGACAATTCCAATTTCCTTCAAGGACAATTCCAATTTCCTTCAAGGACAATTTCAATTTCCTTCAAGGACAAGTAAAATATATTCTAAGGAACTATGCACAGTTGACGGTTAATTAGATAAGTGAAGAAAATTTGCTAAAGTTAAAGAAATTGGTACGATGAAAATATCACCAATACAAGACAAAAATGCAGTTGATGAAATAAAATTTGGTGAGAAAATTTGAATTACCGAATAAATCAAATTTACGTTCAAAATATAAATGAAAGATAATACAAAAATGAATGATAAAATTATTTCCTGTGCGATAATGCATTTTACTGATAAACACTTAGCAATAGGCTTTACGAAATTCAATTATTTAAATGAACATATTTAAACAACTTGATGAACGGACGGAAACGAAGGTAAACTACAATAAAATGTTGCAGAACAAAGTTAGACCAAGAGAAAAAAGTGGTTCGATGTTGAAATATCGAAGAAATAGAATTAGAATACTTAACTTGGTCAAGAATAACGATGGAATTATTGCTACAGCTATAATGCATCAAATGAAAAATATAAGATTAACGTCGTTACTTTTTAACTAAAACTATAATCCAAAGACCAACAGTACGTGTGAAGAATTTTAGACATGAAGTATTCTTAGAAATTGAATTTGTGTTTAAAATGGAATTGACGCCTAGTCTACGTGGATAGAAAATGTTGATCGAGTTTCCATCGGCAGTATGAAAATATTATTTCGCTTTTTCAACGCTATAATAAACAAGAAAGTTCTTGCGGCAGCGTGGTTAAAAATTATAATAAATAAATGCCTAGCAAGGCCTATATCTGTTTCACCTGTTCGAAAATCGATCGCAATAATATAAATGTTAATTTTTTAGTAATGGCAATATCTACTCATAATTTTGCAACAGGATCTATGTAGAAAATCAAAATTGAAATAATATTTTTTCAATTAGCTATACTGAGTGCGCATTAGGAGTATCAGGGCATTTTCCTTATGAAATTCGAATTTATGACATAAGTCCAGCCAGTTGCAGACTTCGAGCAAACATACACGATGATTGCATTATTTGCAATTGTACGATAAACTGCGGATTATTCAGCTATCGTGTTACAATCTTCACCAAGAACACTTAATCGTCCAGTCGAATTGATCGCTTCACTCATTAAAACCATAAATTTATGTGCCGAGTTACCTATCGTGTACACTTGTTACTAATTAATCCAGGCAAAAATTATTAAATATTTTCCATATACCTCCGATTCTTATAATTAAAATACATTGATTACGAACACCGACGCCGAAAGAGTCAGCGAAGAAAATCACTCCCTCCCTCAGCCACGACAAGGACGATACTGCAATCGACGCGCCGTGACAGGTGAACGTAGCGCTAACTGGAATCGCGTGAGGTTTGTGAGCAAACTTTCGTCTCACTTTCATGCAGGGAACGATAAATCGGTAGGTTTGAATTCTGTTTGTTTTGAAACAACAGAACACCACAATCAAAATGGCATTGCGTACAAATATTTATATTTTACTTTATTAATCATATGCTTTAGGAGCTGTATACAACATCGAAAATGATATTGTTAGTAATAAGCTTTCTTCGAACGCAAATATTAACTGTTGAACAGTTTATTTGCAAAATAATTGTTATAAAAAGATTAAAGCGAGGTCGAGTTCTGCCTGTGAAGTTGTTTAACAGACGTTCCCATAGCAACCAGCGGCAGCTGCTGCAGCTGATCGAACATATGCAACTATGGGGCTGAACTATATACAGCTGCTGTGCTGGCTGAACTATATACAGCTGCTGTGCTGGCTGAACTATATACAGCTGCTGTGAGGCTGAACTATATACAGCTGCTGTGGGGCTGAACTATATACAGCTGCTGTGAGGCTGAACTATATACAACTGCTGTGTACGCTGAACTACATGCAGCAGCTCTGACTTTCAAACAATACGCATCAGCAGATGTAGAACCTGATTGTAAGAGTAGCAGCTGAATTAATTTATAAACATCAGCAACAGCTGCAAAAAGAGTGGCTATACCATCTGCATGCGGCCATGTTACTGCTTCATGCATACGTAAGCAAAGGCTACATGTTTCGTACGTAAAATTTTTACCTTTGTTCTAGCTAGTATGCACAGTAACACTTTGTATTCAAGTAACGAATCCAGTTATTCATGCTTGTGAATGTCGAAGATCATAAAATGAATTCTATCTGCTTAAGTGAAATAAGCGATGTAAAGTCCCATTTTTAGCGCATTTTCTCATTTATGGAAAAAATGTACTATTGTGCTCGCCATGTCAGTCTGTCCGTCCGTCTGTCTGTCCGTCTGTCTGTCCGTCCGTGACTTCACGTTTTCGTCGACGAAAGAATTATGCGCTCTCTGTCACTCACTACAGTGGGTACTGAGTTATATATTTTTTTCAAGTAAGCCTAGTCACAGTACTTCTAAAATGTACTTCAAAACACCGCAGGCGTTATAATCTAATAGATGCATAGGAAGATATCAAAACAAAAACAAAAATATCAATATTTATTTTCCTATAAAACGTATAAAAATTACGTACGGATACATTTTGAAATTAAACTTTATGAGAATAGGTTTTTGTAACATTAAATATTATTCTAAAAATTAGCGTTTTTAGCGCATTTTCTCATTTATGGAATAAATGCACTATTGTGCTCGCCATGTCCGTCCGTTCGTCTGTCTGTCTGTCTGTCCGTCTGTCCGTTTGTCTGTCCGTGACCTCAAGTTTTCGTCGACGAGAAAATGCGCTCTCTGTGACTCACTGCAGTGAGTACTGAGTTATATTTTTTATATTCTTCTATCTTATAAAAAGATAATGTTTATTTGATGCGTCGTTTGGCTTCAAGCACCGACTTCATGATGTCGGCTTTGAACTGGTGCAGGAAAGTCTCGGTCTCGAAAGAGTTTGGACTCCTGCGGTCCACGCTGCTGCTGTTGCGGCGGTAGTGAGCGATGTAGGCTTGGTGGCTGGAGACGTAAATCTTCCGACATGGACCTATGTGATGAACAAGCAAGCAGTTAATTTTATATTGTTTAAGCATGCTATTTTAAAACAGGTTATATGGCTACGAAACTTTAAAATAGATCAATTTGGATCCTCAAAATGGATTTGTCGAAAAATTAACAGACATAATAAGTTTCAACTTAAAAACGACTGTCCGATAACTGGGAAACAATCGAATTTTTTTAACTCTTTATACATATAAATTTTTAATTGTATTGACTGATACACCAATAATACACTTTTAGGTTATAGAAAAGGCTCTTATAGCTCACTCGATCTGCAATCGAAACGGTTCCTAATCGAGCTTTAGAAGAATAAAAAACTGGTTTTCGATCGTGCTGCAGGCTAGTCAGTCTCAAGCAGTCGTTCTGTTGTAAAAATAATTAATCTAAATAAAAGTCTGATCTAGGAATCACAATTTTTCAGAGGTTTGATTTGTTTGTGTTATATACAGTATACCTTCGTCATTAGTCTAGAAATTTTTCCAGACGTACTATTTTAATGATGTCGACCAAGCCACGCTTCCGAATACCATTCATACCATTCACTCCTTACATTTACATTTTTTGTCTAATGATAGATATGAAAGATGTACCAGTACCGATAATAAATGAATTTCAATCAAGGCAGCTGAACAAAATAATATTTCTAATTTCACCCATCTTACTTTTATATATCTGATGTAATTTACTACTTGTAAATTACTCTTTTAAATGTGATAAAAACCAGACTTACCGTAACACAGTATGGCTTGATGGGAGTACGCGGCCAGAGTGTGCCGAGTGTCGTACAAAGTTTTGAACTTTCCAATTTACTATTTGCAAATTACTCTTTTAAATGTAATAAAAACCAGACTTACCGTAACATAGTATGGCTTGATGGGAGTACGCGGCCAGAGTGTGCCGAGTGTCGTACAAAGTTTTGAATTTTCCACAGGCTTCTTTAACGCACTTGCGTCTGTATGCGTCGTGACGGAGGAAAAAGAAGTCCTGAGGTACGTCAGCCACGACGTCGCTGGGTGGGGAGTCCTCGTGGAATGTCCTCCATGAGAACTGGAAATTCGCTTGCCTCTTTTTATACCTGAAGTGAATGTGTGCCAGATTTATAATTGAACGTAACGGGCGGGAGGCTTGATTCGTGTGAAAGTACCGACGAAATCGTAAACTAATCATAGTAATATAATATAATATAATATAATAAAATTATTTTTTATAATAATTTCGTATAAAATCGTTGAGGTCTCACTAACAATTGGCTCACCCAAGACGACGTCACCACCACGGCGAGATGGACGACAAGACTAGGTTGCCGTGCTCGGGGCATTGCCCTGGGACGCCGAGGCGACATTAACGCAGAAGCATTTCTATAATTCGGGGCAAGTCGAGCGCAGCGTCCGCAAGTTTGGCCGGAGCGTCCACAGGGAGGCGCGTCTGGCACTAACCAAGATCGATGCTACCGGTGCTTCTGCCCCGCACAACACAAGGCACGCGTCTAGGGGCCGTACTATCAGAACAAGTACACGTAGCGACCTAAGTACACGTAGCGGTTTTAGTACACGTAGCGACCTAAGGTCACGTAGCGACCTAAGGTCACGTAGCGACCTAAGTACACGTGTCGACCTAAGTACATGTAGTGACATAAGTACATGTAGCGACCTAAGAACATGTAGTGACATAAGTACACGTAGCGACGCAAGTACACGTAGCGACCTAAGTACACGTAGCGACCTAAGAAAATGTAGCGACCTAAGTACACGTAGCAGTGTAAGTACACGTATGACACAAGTACACGTAACGGCCAATTTTTCGTCTGTGATTGGCGGGTTCAGCTTGAAAAAGCTGGTGATGATCGGCCGAGGGTGTGATTATTTTTGCTGGCATGGCTCGTGGGTCGCAACACGGACCGAGTCACGGAATGCGTGAGGCTTCCTCAGTAACGTGAAACTTACCCAAAACTGCGGAAGTGCAATCTGGTAAAATATTTATTGTAAATTATTCAATCTGCGCTACAGTCTACACGAGGTCTCGTAAATAATTTAAATTGTACGCGTGTGATATGAACTCGGTGTTTAAAATGCTACGGAATCCGTTAACTTCATTGAAGGGAGATAGTAACACGAGTCTTGGAATTCTTTGGAGACTGAGAGAAAATGTTTTTTTTGGGATCGAAGTTCCACATAAAATGAAGAATAAATTCTAAAATAATATCATTCACAGCATGGAATCAAGGCTGTCAAAAATTCCATAATTTTAGCGCTATAAAAGCTTCTAAACCAGAAGCGATATTACGAAATTATATAGAATTTCAATCAGATTTTTTTTGCATTTGATTTGTATGATTAAGCTAAAAAATGGCAGAATTAGATGGTTGAATATATGATATTGTATATAATAACTCTTGATTCTCATGATTTGGTTGTTGCTTCCATTTGTTTTCTGCCAACAAAGGCCAAAACTTTTTGCGAGCGCAGAGCAGCGTGCACCGAGTCGTGCATTCGTAAACAAGGTGCGACGCTGAGGGCTCCACGAGAGAAAGTTCGGTTCCGTGTAGGAAAGAAATTAATGCCTGATCAAGAATAAGGACAGCCGCAAAGTTGCAATTCTACCAAAAGTTCTGAATTGTGTGTAGGAACAGATTTAGAGCTTTACCATGAGGGAAGAGTATGTTAGACTGGCAACTTGGCTTGGTGTTTGAGAGTTAAAATTAAATTAAACAATATCAGGGCAAACGTTTCAAGGATAATTTACAATTAGGAGCAAATAAATATTCAAATATGTTATCAGACCTAATGGGCTTAGATGAACTAAAAACCTGGAATGGATATACATTAAATAAATAGATTGATAATTTAGATAATATTAATTAATTAAATAATTAATAAGGTGCCGAGCATAGCGCAAGCGACCATTCAAAAAATCGTCTCGCTTCCGAAACAGCTTATCTGATCAGGAAAAATACACAATATTACTAGTCAAATTATGAGAGAAATGCAGTCAGTTGAGAGGCAAATGTATGCAGGCAATAATACGGTTTCTAAATTGAGGATGGAAATAATGAAAGACATTTGATCAAATGGCGCATAACGTGCTCGCAATTGTGATACAATATAAGATAAAATTACACAATTTAAAGTTATTCAGAGTGAAAAAAAGTTCAGAATGCACCAGCGATATAAGTCTTGGAAATATTGTTTGATGAACAATTTATAATCCGAAAATTCTATAGGAGTTTAACCTGATCATTTTGCCGGACACGGAAAACGGACAAAACGTTCATTTTCCGATTCGCGACCAAGCAGCCCAACAATTAAAAAATACGTAAGCTATGCAATAAATTCAATGAATTCATCATCATATTGCCAAATGTCACCTGCATAAAATATGTGACTCTTCTTACTAGAAGTATCTTCCTATTCTTCCTGAAAGAAATTGGTCATCTTTCTTAGTGCTCGTAAGCAAGGACCTTTACTTAGTGGAATATAAACAGTTCAGTCAAGTGGCCGGAGTTTACAAGATAGTTCGCCAAAGACCACATCGATGTCTTCGAGTAAATCTTCCACGTTTCAAATCTTTAAAGTTCGCTAAAACTTGATATTATTTTATCCAAATCAAACTTGAACTATTTTTTCGCTTCTAATTTTTCTTTTGCACAGGCGACATTAAAAGTAAAATCGATACTAAAATCGCGTCGCATACCACGTTACACACGCTATTACAGTACAGTCCATATGTATTGCAACGGATTGATTATATTATATGGCATGTCATAGATTACGCCACATGCCAAGCTGAAGATTATGGCAAAGACCCGTCGCATGGCCCGTGCACAGCTCTGACTAAGGGTTGTGTCAAGATCACGTCACATGTCATGCCACAGGTCCCATAACAGGTCATGCTACAGGTCCCATCACAGGTCATGCCACAGGTCCCATCATAGGTCATGCCACAGGTCCCATCACATGTCATGCCACAGGTCCCATCATAGGTCATGCCATAGGTCCCATCACATGTCATGCCACAGGTCCCATCACAGGTCATGCCACAGGTCCCATCACAACACAGGTCCCATCATAGGTCATGCCACAGGTCCCATCACAGGTCATGCCACAGTCTGCGTCGCACGGCTGAGCGGTGCAGGCAAATTGAGTAGCGCTGTCAGCCGCTCTAGAGCACTTGAGCTAATGGCTGTCGCCAAGAAAACTCTCTGCTCCTCTTACCAAGATTGTTTGCGACCATTCCTAGCGCAAACTTTCCTAGCAATCTAATTCAGATTCTTTTTGCAGTGACAACTTGGCGCTGCAGCACAAAATGCAGTGAGTCAACTTTCGAAAACTTTGAGATACGCCCAGTATTGTTGTAAGTTGATCGTTATCTGAACTTCACGGAGTTCATTTGGTTTCATCAAAATAAGCCTAATTTCGATAAAGCATAATTTGAGGCGCTCAGACGAAAGCGAACAAATGCTATATATATTAATTTATAAAACTCTATTGAAGTTCCTATAAATGACAGATTACTACAGGCACATTGGGCATCTATATAAACGAATTGCCGAGTTTAAGCTTAATTTTAAGCACGAATTTGGACAAATAGATGCCGAAAAAGAGTCCAGGTGAAAATTGGGGGTTGTCTGTGAAGGATGCTATAAGACTGAAGATAGCATTATATACACCGAGGTCTCCCCCGACGTCCAAGAGGCAGAGTTGACAGCTTACGTGTCATGGGAACACGAGCTCTCAGTGGGGTGGAAGCTTGTTGTCTATGACAGGCCAGGACGATTTAATATCTAGCAACCAATCGGCAGCTGACAAAAGGTTGTTATGTAGAATTAACGGTCAAAAGAGTATGTCGACTTGACAGTAGCCCAGACTTTCTGAGTACCTGCTCTATTGTACTGACTTTGAAACAAAAGAATTAAATTTTTGTAAGAAGATTTATAAGGCAAAAGATAAGGAATTATACTTTTACTACCTCACGATAGTCATTGAAAACTATGTTGCATTTCAGAACATAAACATTCGGTTGGTTCCCGCAAAGGCCATCCTGAAAGTGATTTATTCTATGCAACCGTTTAAATTATAAGGGCGAATTTCTAGAGAAGTACAATCACTACTAAATTAAAAAGGTGTTAGGGATGAAGTGCTTAATTTTTTCGAATATTTCAAGCTTGTCCCAAATTTGACAGTACAAAAAGCAATTCTGAACGACTGCATTATTCATCTATTATTACAGCAACAATTTTTACCGCAATATTGTCATACTATTCCATAATGGATTAATTTACGTGTATTCGTCCTCGCATCTGTTTAAACAGTGCAATCATCAACCTGTTCCGGTGTCATCAACTGATGAGCAAAATGCACTTTATATCCGCCAGGGGATTTGATTTATTCGCAATAACCACAGGAGCCGCTAAGCGCTCTAAAGGTGATATAGTTCTTCATAACAAGTCCATCAATTACACTATGATGCCCAGTTTTTACCTCCATCTCTAACCGTGGCGCCATTATCGCTAAAATTTTCTTGGATCCTTCGTTGTGCGAGGATTTGTAAATCCCGGTTTGCAACGGCATTTAAGTTAATGGCGGAATTCGGGTCGGAATGTTCACTTTTCGAGTTATAAATTATTGGTGAGTGCATCAGGTTTTTCATAATTTTGCACTAATTCTTTAAAAAAGTTCTCTACCAGTTATATTCAAAGTATCACTCAAACAGAAATGAAATAATGGATAACATTACTACATATTGTTCTATACCTGATCTAATGTTAGCTCATCGTCTACCTCAAACATGCAATCAAACTTAATAAGCGACGGACAATTGAGGGCGTAGATATATCAACAATTTTCAGGATAGTTTGATGATGCGCGGCTGCCTTCTCGTGCAGATAAAAACTATACATAAATGAAATGGCGATGAATATGTAAACAAATAAATGCCACGGGGTGCGGTTATTATACAACCGAAAGTATATCACAGCGTGGGTGTGTCCTCGAGTTATTCGCCCCCTTACCGAACATCCATTGAATCAGTGCACTGATAGATAGTCATTGCGGTACTCAAGCTCAATAATTACACGGGATTTTTATAGGTCAAATACAAACAAAAAATATATATTCTGTTATGATACGGCAACTTAAGTTCCAAGCTTCACTGCTACACGTAAACAACTCGTAATTTCTTCAAGCAATTGTCGGAGCCGAGACGCTGCCCAGCCGCGGAGCAGCTGGCGATTTTTCATCTCAGGAAATGGGTCCGATTCTTGGTCGGCAAAAATGTAGAGTCGATTAGGGTCTACAGATCTTCAATGGACTCCTGCCGAAATGCTTCAAGAGATTCGGGGAGCTC